TCTCCTGGCGACGGTGGGAGTGTGCCTGCCCCTCTGAGCTGTGCCCTGGAGGTGGGGGATGACCTTGCCCTCCGACAGCGTGCACAGGTGTGCTGAGCAGGGGCGAGGAGGCAGCCCTTGACCATGAACCAGGGCTCTGTAAGTCTGCCCAAAGGCCAGCCCCCAAGAGCCCAGACCAAGGAGGAAGGAGGTCCCCAGGTCCTGGCATCTCCAGTTGCTGAAGGCAGAGGCTCGAAGGTGACAATGAGAATGGCGCGTAGACAACTGGCTAGAGCGGGTATAGGGCCGAGGGTGGAGCCTTCCCCAAGTTTAAGTGGGTGGGCAAGAGCCACGAGACCAGGAGGCTGAGGATGGGGAGGAGGGGGCCGCTGAGAGGGGATCCTGGGAGAAAAGATGAGGGAGGGCCCAGAACAGAGAGGCAAGGATGTGAGGAGGGAGGTGACCAGGGTTGCTGGGGAGGGTGAGGGGTGCCCATCTGCAGGGCGTCAGCTCAGGGCTCCGGGCAGGCTACTCGGCAGGGCCAGAGCACCCCCAGAAGAGAGGAGCCTCTGGCGTGTATGGCATTTTACAACCTTCTCATTCACTATTCACTCAAATAGCACATATTGAGCACCTGGTGTGTGCTGGTCACCCTGCTGGACACTGGGGACCCAAAGTGTCATAAGACACAGTCCCTAAGGAGCTAACGGTCCTGTGGGCTTTCACTCAAAGGCTTGCACCCAGGGTTAAGCTCCCAGCATCTTGGAAGGCAGGCATAGGTACCCCAATTTGCTCTGAGTACAAACAGAGGTTCAGAGAGGTTCAGTGACTGGCCAAAGGTCACACAGCCAGGAAGAGTCTGTGTCCAGGTCAGTTCTGGGCCCTATTTCAGCCAAGTGGCCTTGAGGGTTAGCCACCCTGTTACCCTCAGCAAGAACAGTACAAGCCAAAGGCAAACAAGTGCTCACTTTTCTGCACACACCTGTGTGCCCAGCCCTGTCATGGACATGAATTCCAAACCCTGACCTTGCTATCTGCAGCTGAGGGTGCCGCAGGAGAGTCTGACGCCCCAGGAGAGGGCAGAAGCAAAGGCTTCCAAGGAGGGAGAGATGGAGGAGGGGGAGGTGAGCTCGGTGGACACCTCTCACCCAAGGTGGCCACTCAGGGAGCCAGGGAAGCCTGGCAAAAGCCTCTGAGGCCCCTCCCCCGGGGCCATAGTCCTGATTTCTGGGTGCGATCATCATCCCGCTCCAGAGGCGGGAGAGCCCAGTGGCTCTGGCCGGGAGCCCGCCCCTGCTGGCAGACACTAGCCGCTGGGAGGAAGAGTTACAGCCCAGCTGCTGCCACTTCTTACACAAACAGCCCAGGAGGTGCCGCACCTGAGCGGGCGGCCTGCCTGGGAAGGAGCCCAGGGCCCTCGTTCTCCCTCCTCCAGGAACTGTGAGTGACCCCTCGCCTGGGGCAGGGGCTGCTGCAGTTTCCTTGTCTGTCCCCATCCCCCAGACTCCCACCCAGTGACCCCTCCTCTCTGGATCCCAGACCGGCTCCCACCTCCTGGGGCAAACTCCAAGGGAAGTCCCAGGAGGCTGTGACTGAGATGCAGCAACTGGCCTCGGGACAGATTCCCCCTGTCCTCCCTCGGGGCCAGCCAGGGGCCTTTGGAAAGTGGGGTTGGTAACAGCAGGGGAGCTGCAGCCAAGCTGAGGGGACCCCAGGGAGCCCTTTGCCCCCCTCCTCCAACAGCTCCCCACGTCCCAGCTAGGGCAGCCCGGGGGTTGCTGGCTGGTTTCCTCACACCTGGCCTGACTTTCCCTCCCCATGACTCACCTGCTGCCCCAGGGCCCAGAAGCCCCACCACCCAGACTGCGACCTGGCTTGTGAGAGAGCAGGTTCTTGGGTCCCCCCACACATAGCTCTGGCCACCCAGGGCTCTCCCCACCTACCCCTCTGTCCCCTGCAGGCCGGGAGGCGGCCCCATGGTCCTCTGGGGATATCCCAGGAGCCCGGCCTCATTATTCACCTCTCGGCCCCTGGTTCCCTGCAGCCCCAGGCCTCCTGAGGTGGGCCCTAGAGAAGCCCACCCACCTCCTCACCTCCTTCCTGGGCCCCAGCAGTGGGCCTCCCTCTGCACCTATTTTCTCTGCCCTTCCAAGAGCTGGCAGTGTCCAGTAGTGGGAGGGGACGGGCATCAGTTCTGAAATGCCAGCCTGCGTGGGTGGTCAGTGCCAGGCCCTGGGGCATGGGAAGAACATGATACGGTGTGGCGATGCCATACGCTGTGGTTATGATACGACGTGGCGCGTCTGCTGGGTGCAGGATCTCGTTGGGAGAGGAAGCTCTAGGGACGCCTCCTGGAGGAGGAAGGTGTTGCCAGAGGTAAAATCTGCTGGTTTCTACGATTCCCTCCCATGAAACCCTCTGGACCCGGTGCTTTTTCAGTGGCTGATTTTTTCCTCTGTGATAATTAGATCTATTCAAGTTTCTACTAGTTCTCTAGTTAATTTTGGTCATTTTATATTTTACTAGGAAAGCATTTGTTTTCTCTAGATTTGTATACATTACACTTTTAAAATTTATTATTGATTGTGGCCAAGTAAATGATTTTTTCTAAGTTTTTCATAGACATGGAAAAACGTACACTTTCTATTTAAGGGATAGAAGGTCCCATATGTATCAAATCAAATTTATTAAGTTTATTGATTATGTATTATTCAAACTTTCACTTCCTTTGTATCTTTTTTGTTTTTGGTCTCTTACTCTAATTCTCATAAAGTTTTATTAAATCTCCCTCTCAAATTTTCCCTATAAAGTTCTTCTATTGCTTTTGTTAGTTTTTGCTTTTCATATTTAACAATGGGGCAATGGGGAGCATGCAGATTTTGCGTGTTCTGTCTTTATGAATTGTGCCTTCCTGTCACTACATGTCTCTGTTTATCCTGTGTTAGTGCTTAATCTTAAATTTTACCCTTCTACTTTTAATATGGCCACTCTTTATTTTACATTATATTACATTAAAAATAAACTCGTTTATTTTCAACCTTTTTCATTTTTTAGACTGTATTTCTTGTATACATCACATTACTGCATTTAAAAACCTGAGCTGACTCTTTTGCTAGGAGAATTCGATCTGTTGGATTTCATTTAATAACTGACAGGCCATACTGGGTTTTACTATACTGGCTTATTTTACACGCATTGGTTTGCTTTGTGGCTTTTTCCCTTCAATCTACTTCCTATTGGTTTCCTTTGTCTTCCACGGTTACATTTCCATTAATGGCTCTGGCCCCTCCCCTGGGGCTCCTGTCAAACACATAGTCAAACACACATTCTGTAGCCTGAGTCTGGACCAGGATCCTCTTTCTCCGAACTCTCATCTGGAACCCACAGAACCTGTCTGTAGATTCGAGTCTTTTTTTCAGCTCAGAAAAAAATCTATTTCTTGACGATTTTCTGTTTTACTTTTTCTTTCGTTTGCGTGTGAGCTCTCCTGGCTGGGTTCCTCCCAGCTTACTTCCTTCCGTCTCTATGCGCTTTTGCTCTGAGGCTCGATCTTCCAAGCCTCAGACTTGAATCTTAAGAGTGATTGTCTTCTCCTTCAATTAGTACAATGATATATTTTAAGTTCGAAAAAACAGGGTTTTTTTTTTTGACTTTTTGCTTGACTCAAGAGTTCCTGTGTTTTGTACAAGTTACAATTTCATTTTCCAGCCCCTCTATCTTGCTAATAGCCTTGAATTTATTTTAACTAGACAGTATATTTGAAGATTTTTTTAAAAAAATCAAAGCACTATTAAAAAGTATGTTGTAAAGATCACGCACACATCCCTGCTTCCTTGTTCTGTTCTCCATCAACTCAAAAGTCAACATTTTCATTCATTCTCTCTTCTTCCGGAGTTTCTGCATACAAACAAGTATGAATATGTGTGTGACTACTTGACTTTCTGTGCTCTTACACAAAGGTAGTATGCCGGACACACTGTCCTGCACCTTGTGTACTTCTTGCCTTTTGGATCTGGCAGTGTGTCCTGGAGATGGTACCCAGAGAAGCTCCTCTCCTTCCCTGCAGCCACGTCGCTTCCACTGCATGGATGTATCATAACTCATTCAGCCAGCCTCCCGCTGACTTGCACTGTTTCCCACGTTTTGCTATTACAAATGCCATGATAAATAATCTTTTGTACATGGACAGGTAAATGTAGGAAAAATCCCAGAAGTAGAATTTCTGGGTCAAAGGGTAAATAATAGGTGTTTGGTAGGTTTTGCCAAATTGCCAGCCACGAGGTGTCTACCGATTTGCTGTCTCTCCAAAACAAACGAGAGTGTCTGTTTCCCTACGGCCTTGCTAACAACTTTTGTTTGCTGCCCATCTGAACATAAAATATCTTAAGGTGGTTTGAATTTGCATTCTAGTCATGGTGAGTTTCTTTCTGTGTATTTTAGGGCTGTTTGTTTCTCTTTTTCTATGAATGGTCCATTTATGTCCTTTGCCCATTTGTGTGTTAGGTTATTGGGTTTTTTAAATTGATTTCTAGGAGCTTTTTCTATATTAGGGGAAATAGCCCTTTGTCTATTACATGAGTTATAATTTCTGTCCCCGCAATTTGTCTTTTGACTTTGCTAATGATATTATTTTGTGACACAAGTTTTTTTAAAATATATTTCTATAGTCAAATGTATCAATCATTTATTTTATGGCTTTTAGATTTTGAGTCTTTTACAAAGTCTGTTGTACATATACAACATATGGAGTTGGTTTGTTTTCTTCTTTGAGTATTTTTATGGCTTCATTTTTTTAACATTTAAATCTTTAATCCTTTGAGGGTTTTTCTGGGTGGACAGAGTGAGATGTGGACCCGCCTTTATTTATTTTGTTCTGGATGGCCAAGCAGTTGTCCCAGGACCTTTTACTGACAAGTTCGTCTTTCCCCCATGATTTGTGACAGTGTCTTTAGCATGTTCCAGTTCCCAGCTGTATTGGGTTCTGACAGCAGCTTAGGCTCCTGCCTAAGGCCCAGGGAGAGGCTACCGTGAGCAGCACGTGCTTCCCCTCTTGAGGAGTTTAGAGCTTAGTGAACATGTCATAGTCATCGAGGAACTTCTATGATTTTCTAGTTTTGTGATGCAAAATGTTGAGGCTGCAGAGAAGTTTAAAGAAGAAAACAAAACAAAAACAAATATAGCTGCTATCATCACAGTGCCGGGAGAGGGACCTCTCTTAGCACTTCAGAAGGTTTTCAAAAATACAAAATTGAAATTATGCTAACTCTACCATTTTGAAATCTGCTTTTTCCCTGGGGCATTATGTATTCTTAGAAAACAGTATTAATTCCTGAATGCTATTCTGCCCGGGGCTTGATAACATAGTTATCTGTCCCTCTGCTGGGCGGAGGATGGTGGCATGTGGGAGGAATCTCAGGAAAGGTCTTGAACCTGGCACCTGGGCTGAGTCCTGAAGAAGGAAAAGGAGTCAGCCAGGTAAGAAAGGGGAGGCGATGGGGCAGGGCAGGCTGTGAAATGAGCCAGGCCTGCGGGAGACACAGCAGAGGGTGGGGACTTCCAATGACTGGATTAGAGTTCAAGGCAAGGGGCAAGGAGTGGCAGGAAATAAGGTAGAAGCCCAGGCAGGCAGCAGTGGCCTCCTAGGCCTGGTGAAGGACTTAGACTTTGCCCTGCAGCCAGCAGGGAGCCCTGAGGTGTGCACCTGGAGAGCTGCTGTTCTGTGAGCACCGTAAACACACCAGGCTCACCTTCTGTGAGCCTAAAACCCCCCAGTCACCCTCACTTTCTTTTGGAGGGACAAAGGGACGTACCTTTCTTTGCCCGTCCATTTCCAGCCCATCTGGCTGTCATCTCTTTCTCCCTCTCTCCTGTGGAATTGATTCTGACACCTGAAAATTCCACATTGGAAAATTCTAGCCCCAAATCCAGAGGCCATGTTGATTCCAATCCCAGAGCTTTCACTGGTGACTGTGGAATGCACAGGGCTCTGAATGGGGACCACCAAAAGGGGTGGTCCCAGGCCACTTCTTTGTTCCTGCCCAACATCTTACTTGCCTCTGTGAGTACACAGCTGTGAGATCTGGGTTATCAATATTTTATTATTGGTAATAAATACAATTAATGCAATTGTCCCATCCATATGGAGACTAAATACTTTGAAAAGCACTTTCAAGAACATTTCCTCATTCTATCTTCACTACAATTTCTGGAATGGGCAGAGCAGACATTTTATACCCGGGGAAACTGAGGCTGGGAGGCATTGTGACTTTCTGAAGGTCGCCCAGGTGGCAAGTGGCCGAGTCGGGACTGTGTGACCCCAGTGGCCCCCTGAAAGTCACGTCTCCTTCCTCCTTCTGTAGGTGGACGAACCTCCGGAGCCCGTGTACGCGAACGTAGAGAGGCAGCGTCGGGCCACTTCACCGGGCGCTGCCGCGGCCCCCCACCCCAGCCAGGTGTCGGAGACGCACACGGACGCCAGCACCGGCCGCCCCTACTACTACAACCCCGACACGGGTGTGACGACCTGGGAGTCGCCCTTCCAGGCTGCCGAAGGCTCCGCTAGCCCAGCCACCTCCCCGACCTCGGTGGGCAGCCGCGAGAGCCTCGAGACCGAGTGGGGCCAGTACTGGGATGAGGAGAGCCGCAGGGTGTCCTCCTACAGCCCCCTGACCGGGGAGACCGCCTGGGAGGACCAGCCGAGGACGACGAGCTGGAGATGCAGCCGAGCCTGAGCCCTGGCAGCCCCAGGGACCAGAGGGTGAGGGGCGGGGCCCTCTCTTGGAGCCCCTGGCCACTCCCCCTGCTCTACCAGCCCCAACCTGAGGGTTGAGGGGCGGGGCTATCTCTGCGATCCCTCTGGCTCCGCCTCCTGTCCCACAGCCCAGGGGTCAGAGGGTGGGGGAGGAGTAGGATGGGCGTGGCTATCTCTGAGCGCATCTGGCCCCGCCTCCTGCTCCACCTAGCCCCAGGGACCCAATGGCAAGGGGGTGGGCTTGGTCCAAAAGGGCGGGGCCAGGGGCAGCACTGGCACTGGGAGCCTCTGACTCCAGCTTCTGGTCCCTGCAGCCTCCCACCCCCGACACGGACTACCCCGAGTTGCTGACCAGTTACCCGGAGGAAGACTATTCCCCCGTGGGCTCCCTCCGTGAGCCCGGCGCCACCTCTCCCTTGACCACATCCCCTGGCTGGTCTTGTCACATCAGCCAGGACAAGCAGACGCTTTACACCAACCACTTCACCCAAGAGCAGGTAGGGGCAGTGGGCAGATGGACCCAGACAGCCGCGGGGTCGCTCCCCTCCACTTTCCTCACTATTAGCTCCCCTTCGTACTCTGAACTGCCGCTCCCACGCAGACCCTAGGCCAGCCCAAGATTCGGAGTCACCTGCATCTGCCTCTCCGAGCTTCCTGGTGCTGTCTTGAACCCCGGTTGGAGGGAGCCCTTTCTCTCCTCTCATGAGCTGGGTGGGGGGCTCTGATCACGCCTCTCCCTGCGGTGGGTGAGGTTGGAGGACCAGCACGGGAAACCACACTTCTACAACCCAGACGACTCCTCCGTCCGGTGGGAGCTGCCCCAGGTAACCAACCGGGGAAGGGACAGTGCTGGGGAGGGGGGGGGACTATATATGACAGTATTTTTCTCCCCAGGTCCCTGTCCCTGCCCCTCAAAGCATCTGCAAATCCAGCCAGGACAGTGACGCTCCAGCCCAGGCCAGCCCCCCTGAGGGGAAGGTAATGGGGGGGCATGAAGGCCCTGGCAGGACCACCACAGAAGAAATGGGGAGTGTCTGGAGATCCTGGGGGCAAGGACTGGGTGGGACACATCTGTCTCCCCCGTGGGCCCCAGAGGTGGGTAATGTTGGGAAGTGGGAAGGAATTTCTCCTGCTGCTGCTGCTGTGGGAGCAGTCACCAACCCCCCTCCAGCCAGGAGGCTGGGCTGGTCACGAGCGTTCAGTGGAGACACAGGCCCAGCCCATGGGGAGTTGCAGCTCAGGGGGAGACTGGCCTGCCCCCCATGGCTCACCCTCTGGACTACCCCCTCTTTCCCCTTCTCTCTCTTAGATCAAGACCCTGGACAAGGCAGGGGTGCTGCATCGCACCAGGACGGTGGACAAGGGAAAGCGGCTCCGGTGAGAGCCCCTCTGCACCTGGACCAGGGCAGGGTGGGCCTTACAGATGAAGTTCACTTCCCATATGCCAGGCTCTAATCAGTCTTCATAGTGACTCCATGAGAGGTCCTGTGAGGAAACTGAGGCACCCAGAGAGTAAAGTGACTTGCCCAAGGCCTCCTGGCTACCAGGTGGTAGATCTGGGAGTCCACCCCTCACAGTCGGGTGCCCTAGGCTGTGTTCCTAAGCTCTGTGCCCTGCTCCTGGGGCTAGGAGGGGGGCCTCAGCCTAGGCCCAAATCTAAGTCCTGCCCACCCGCCGCTTCCCCACCCCCATCTAGGAAGAAGCACTGGAGTGCCTCGTGGACAGTGCTGGAGGGTGGTGTCCTGACATTCTTCAAGGACTCAAAGACCTCAACTGCAGTCGGCCTGGTGAGGCCCAGGCCCCCAGGGCGGGGACCACCCGAGCTGCTCTGTCTGGTTTAGAAAAGACCAGGTCTGAGATAGCAGTCAATGAGTGTCAAAAGGAGCTGGGCCTTGGCAGAGAGGGGGTCATGACAGCAGGTTCACCCCAAGACAAGCAGTTTCAGCCACCTTGGGGATGAGGAGCAGTCCTTGAGGGTGGACGGCTCGAGGCTGGAGGGCAGGGAGGCTGGGGGCTGGACACATCTCACAGGGATGGGGCTCTGCTGCTTCATCTCCTGGGCGGGCAGGCAGCAGGATCTCTGGTTTCCAGGAACCCTTAGGTCCCTTTCACCCAGAGCTGTTGCCTGGCCCCACCAGCGACCCCATCCTGTCCCACAGCCACAGTGCAGTAGCAGGCCCATCTGAGCTGAGTGCTTCCTGTGACCCTCCCCACCCTTCCTCCCTGTCCCACAGAGGCAGCCTTCCAAGTTCTCCACTCCTGAGTACACAGTGGAGCTCTCTCTCTGGGCCCTCTCTCTCCTGGGCCCCCAAAGACAAATCCAGCAAGAAGAATGTGCTAGAGGTGAGTGGTGGGCAGGAGAAGGGGCATCCTGATATCCAAGGACCCTCACTGTTGGCAATCCCCAAGGAGGAGCACCTGGGAAGAGTTGGGGCTGGAATTCTCAGTGTTCAAGGCCATTGATTCTGCAGTCCCCTCCCCAGGAGCTGAGTTACTCGTCCTTGTCCTGGAGGATGGTGAGAAGTAGAGGCCTCTGGGATTTGAGACCCTCTCCTGCCTAGAATGGTGGCCACATCCCAACCTGAGGCAGGAAGCTCCCTGGTCCTGGTGCTTACTCTGACGCGCTGGGCCACCTACTCTTTCTCCCCAGGTCCCCATCCCTGTCCCTGGGCCAGAGCCCAGCTTCTAACTGGACGGGGTCCTCAGTGAATAAGCTAGGGCAGTGGACGAGCCGTCAGGCTCCCCCAGCAGGCGAGGGTCCTCCCAGCACCAAACCCTTCGCTGTTCACGTGCTGTCTCATTTTTCTTTTTCTATTTTTTAGAGCTAGAGTCTCACTCTTTTGACCAGGCTACAGTGCCATGGCGTCATCATAGCTCACAGCAACCTCAAACTCCTGGGCTCAAGCGATCCTCCTGCCTCAGCCTCCCGAATAGCTAGGACTATAGGCGCACACCGACGCTTGGCTAATTTTTCCATTTTTAGTAGAGATGGGGTCTTACTCTTGCTTATGCAGGTTTCAAATTCCTGAGCTCAAGGGATCCTCCCACCTCAGCTTCCCAGAGTGCTAGGATTACAGGCGCGAGCCACCGTGCCCTGGCCACTGTCTTGTTTTTAAACTACTCATTCCCCACACCTCAGTCCCTAAACATTTTGAGGCAGGTTACGACAAAAACATACAGTGAATCGGTAAAACTGGGACCAGGCAAAACAAGTGAGAGACGGGCTCAAGGTGGAGAGGAATTAAAGGCACGTGATACCCAGGTGCTAAGATACTGGTGGTTGCAAAAATTTAGCTCCAGTTTTCCTGGTAGCAAAGGTAAAAAGAGAAGGCCTATTAGTTATATGGCTCTTGTTGAAAAAATACTACTACAACCTACCCCTAGAATCAAAGTGTCTTCCTAACTCTTAGCGCTTTTATTGGGGCGGGGAGACAGTCTGGCTCTGTTGCCCAAGCTGAAGTGCAGGGGTGAGATCATAGCTCACTGTAGCCTCAAACTACTGGGCTCAAGTGATCCTCCTACCTCAGCCTCCCGAATAGCTGGGACTACAGGCATGCACCATCATGCTCAGCCAATTTTTAAAAAATTTTTTATACAGACAAGCTCCTGGCCTTAAGCAATCCTCCTGCCTGAGCCTCTCAAAGTGCTGGAATTACAGACATGAGCCACTGCACCCAGCCTAACCCTTAGCTCTCATAAAATGTCTGGTGTGTAGCTCCACAAACACGGGATCTAGAGGCATGAGGCTGGTGCCTGCAAAAGAGCTCCCCGGAGGTTTAGTTAGGGGTCTCAGTGCTGTTTGGGTACCATATTATGATGATAGCCAAAAGCATAACCTCGTATCTCAGCTCAGAAAAAGCCATTCTGCAGGCAGCCTGAGTGTGTAGCTTTCTGATGATCACCAAGGTTCATTCAGTCTCAGAACCAGGATATCTACAGAGCAGAGTTGGAAAACTGGTTTCATCTCATGAGCTACTCTGATCATTAGTTCTGGCGCTATCTTGAAAATTCTGGAGCCTTCTCCAGGCTTGGTGCAGGGTAGGGCTCTGTAATCAAGTAGCAATGTCTGCTATAGTGTCACATGGAGGAGGGACATCACGTTTGCTAGCCATGTCCCTTCTCTGACCTCGAGGGACAGGCTTCAAACAGTTCTCTTATGAAGGTCATCTGTGGGCTTTTGATGAAAGTGTCAGAGCAGGACTTTCTGCGCTGTCTGTGCTGGCAAGGAGCAGAAGGCAGACGGTACTCTTGGAAGCTGCTCAGGCCAAGGGAAGGCTGACAGGCCTGAGTGGAAGTCAAGGAACTTCCTGCCTCCTGGCTGGCTGGCGGCCACCCTCTCTCCTCTCGGGCTGGCCTGTAGGCAACTCCAGGATGTTCCTTAAGAGACAGCCCCAAATTCTATATTATCGAGGACAGATGGGTTAGTTGGGCCCAGGAAATGTCCACAGCAGGTCTCCCTAGTCACCCTGAAGCCACAGAAAATGTCCATATCTGTCCCCCGAGAGCCGCTAGTACCCTTAGCCTGCCTGTGCGTTCAACAGGGTGGATGCGTTCTGCTGTACGTTGCTGTGTAGCTATGTGGCTTTGCCTTTTTTTTTTTAACCAGAACGAATCTGCAGAACAGCTTTGCCTTCTGTATGAAACTTTCAAATACGAGCTGATTACATTTTGAGAGAGCTGCCACCAATAATAGAGGTTGTTTTAGAAGTGTCATTAGGCCATTCTCTGGGGTAATCCCCAGCAGGGCTCCTGCCTGCTTAGATTACAGTGGGGCTGTGCTGGCCCCCACTCAAGGTTCTCTAGTCTCTGCAAGGGAGGTGGAGGGGTGGAACATGAGTTTTTCTTTTTCCTTTTTTTTTCATTTTTAAAGCAGTTTATATATTATTAGTATTCATGTGTAAGTGCAAAAGGAGGGCAGCCGAAAGATAATCCTCTCTGATTCTAGAAGTTGTTCCTTGTTTGAGACAGTTTCTGCTGCCTCTCTCACTGGACCTTAAAGGGCAGGGCTGGTGTGAGCCGCCAGGGCCCAACATTCACATTAACCCCGAACTCGGGCCCTCAGAGCCAGAGGCTGTGGAGGGATCCATCCAATCAGAAAGGGCTGGAGCAGCAGGCCTGTTGCAGCAAGTTTCCCTCTGGCGTTTTGCATAATTTCTGCTTCTTGACAAAGTGGGCTGAAAGGGAATGCGTTGCGCAGGCTGGAGGGCGAGAGGGGGTGGGGACTCCTGGCTGCTAAAGGAGGGGCAGCACTCTAGGTCCTCAGTGAGCATGTGGGGGGAGTGGGGGACACTCGCTTTCTCTGGGATCAGCCATTATCTGCTTTTGAATCCTCTCTCCCTGCATTTCCTTCCCTGTTAGTTCCAGTGGCCAGGGCTGTCCCTCAGGAAGCTTCCCTCTCTTAGTTTTTTGCAGGCCAGCGCTCTGGGCAAGAACTGCCATGTTCTGCGGCTCATGGGGAGGTGGGACAGGGCAGGGGAAGTTTCCCCGACAGCTGAGCCATGCAGACCTGCCCTCCATTGCCACTAGCTGTGTGCCCACGAGGAAGCTGCTAAAACTCGCTGAGCCTTGGTTTGGTCCTCTGTAACACAGAGAAGCTGTCACCCACTGCTTTAAGTGAGGCGGAAGCCCTTGGCTCCATTAGGCTCTGAGTTCCTGGGGGTACGGGCCAGGTCACCTCCATCTCTGTACCCACCCCCCTCGGGACCAACCACCAGGGCAGACCTAGGAAACCAGTGATTTGTGTCCCTCTAGCTACGGAGCCACGATGGCTCGGAGTACCTGATCCAGCACGACTCAGAGGCCATCACCAGCACCTGGCACAAGGCCATCGCCCAGGGCATCCAGGAGCTGGTAGGTAGGGCCTGGGGTCTCTAGGGCCACTAGGGAGGGGTGGCCAGCTGTTACGCAAGGCAGCTGTGCCCACTGTGGGACACAGGGAGCTCCGTGGCACCAGTGGGCCAACGCCACTCCCTGCAAATGCAGTGTCCCCTGCATGGCTGGGATGGCAGGATGCTAAAGAAACTGCCTTCTGTAATCTGTGAATCCAGCCTGGGGGTGGCCCTGCAGTCACACTCTCCATGTGCGTGGGGGCTCAGCCTAGAGGAATTTCCCATTTTGAGGGAGGCAGGAGGAAAAGTAAATATTCTGGGAACCAACTTCAGGCTGGAATGGCAGGCTGAAACTAGAAGATAAAGTTTAAAAGTATTGATTTCAAGAGTCTTCCATTTCTTAGGTTCAAAATATCAATTGCATAAGTAGAGATAGGGCAGGTCCCCTCTGACAACTATTTTCCTGGAAATGACTTGGGGCTTTTTGACCCTTAATTCCCTAGAAGCCGACACTGGGTGCAGCTCTTGGCTGTATTAATAGAGGTAGGAACCCAGAGCCAGAGAGGCGATGTTGGTGCAGTTGTTGGCAGTGCTCCCACCCCAGCAGGAATTAGAAGCTCAGAACTGGGAGCCACATACTGAGTATGTCTATAGGAGCTGAGGAAAATACCGGAAGAAGGGGCCAGGCACTGGGAGGTGGGTAGGGGAGGACAGGATGACTGATTCCAACACCTGTAGGGCTGCAGGCATCTAAGGGAGGCCAATGTTCTGAGGTTCCATAGTAGAGGTGAGGGGAGTTAACCTGCTTAAGGGAAGAGAGATCGCTTTGCCTGAGGACCACGCCTGCTGGGAGGGCATTGCAGGTCCCTTGCCCCATCCAGGAAGGACCCCCAGCTGGCCATGGCCCTGCCTCTCTGAAACTATGCGATTGCAGTCTGCAGACTTGCCCCCGGCAGAGGAAAGTGAGAGCGGCAGTGTGGACTTCGGGTCTAGTGAGCTCCTGGGAAGCTGGCAGGAGAAAGAGGATGACACGCGGCTGAGTCCAGGTGTGTGCAGGGGACAGGGTGGGGAGCATCCCGGAGACCTCTCTTAGCAGGTGGTGATGCCCCAGCTGTGCGTGGGGTGGTACGTGGGCTGGCACTGTCCTCTGGTGGCTGCATCCAGAGTTGCCTGGTGCTGGTGCACTGACCTAGAGGGTGCAGCCCCCCAGCTTCATCTCCCATCCCGCTGCTGCCTTCTTCCCTGCAAACTTCTCAGGGGCCTCGAGGCTGCTTCCTCATGGGCCAGAAACAATTCAATTCAGCAAACATCTATTCAGCAGGAATTTAATGGGCTCCTACTGGATGCCCCGTTCTGTGCTTGGTGCTGGGGCTGCAGAGACTCCGACAGAGACACAGACACTCCGACTACCCAGGAAGCTGGACGCTGCTGGGGGAGCCACTCGGCAGAGCCCACAGAGCTGCAGCCTCACCAAGTCTGGGCTGTGCTGACGGCCATACAGCCGCCTCCTCAAGTTCTTCGACCTCACTGTCATAGCAAACCTTGGGGTTGCATCCCCTTCAAAGAAACCATAGAAAACAGGCACATTCTTTTTTTTTTTTGAGACAGATCTCACTCTGTTGCCCTGGGTAGAGTGAGTGCCGTGGCATTAGCCTAGCTCACAACAACCTCAAACTCCTGGGCTCAAGCGATCCTCCTGCCTCAGCCTCCCTGGTAGCTGGGACTACAGGCATGTGCCCCCATGCCTGGCTAATAAACAAACAAACAAATAAATAAATAAATCCTTGGTGGTTGTTTCTTTTTTTTTTCTTCCATCCCCATCCCCTTGGTCGTCATTTCAATTATGTTCACGGCATCCTCACCAGGAGTAGCTTCCAACTTAAGAAACCATTTTCTTTGTTCATTCATAAGAAGCAACTTCTCATCCGTTCAAGTTTGATCATGAGATTGCAGCAATCCAGTCACATCTTCAGGCTCTGCATAGAATTCTAGTTCCCATGCTGTTTCCCTATTTGTCCCTAACAAGAGAGTCAGACTGTCCTTTGAAGCTTTGAAGCCAGGCATTGACTTCTCCCCTCTAGCTATGAAAGTCCCAGGTGGCATCTTCTTCCAGTATAAGGTTGTTTCATCTACCCTGAAATTCTGTTGTTTAGTGTGGCCACCTTCATCGAAGATCTCAGCTAGATCTTCTAGATAACTTGCTGCAGCTTCTACAATAGTACTTGCTGCTTCACCTTGCATTTTTATGTCCTGGAGATGGCTTCTTTCCTTAAACCTCATGGACCAACCTCTGCTAGCTTCCAACTTTTCTCCGGGAGCTTCCTCCCCTCTCAGCCTTCATAGAATTGAAGAGAGTTAGGGCCTTGCTCTGGATTGGGCTTTGGCTTACGGGAATGTCGTGGCTGGTTTGATCTTTTATCTAGACCTCTAAAACATTCCCCATATCAGCAATAAGGCTGTTTAGCTCTTTTATCATTTGTATGTTCGCTGGAGCAGTACTTGTAATTTCTTTCAAGAGCTTTGCCTTTTCATTCACAACTTGGCTAACTTGTTCCAGACTCCTGTTAATGTTTGGCATAAGAGGCCTAGCTTTTGGCCTATCTTGGCTTTCAATATGCCTTCCTCACTAAGCTTATGGTGTTTAGATTTTGATTGAAAGTGTGAGACGTGGACTCTTCCTTCCATTTGAACACTTAGAGGCCATTGTAGGGTTATCATTAATAATTGGCCCAATTTCGATATTGTGTCTCCCTGTGTGGCTGGTGGGCGTGCGAGGGATGTCGGGGCAAGAAGTGAATTGGGACCAGGGTTCAGCCACCCGTCAGGAGTGACAATCACTGGCTCCTGCAGAGGGAGGCTGCATCTCGGGAGGGAGGGGGTCTGAGTGCGCTGTGTAGACTGCAGTGTGGGTTGACATGCAAAATACTGTGTGAGTAATGATCTTCCCCACCCTGCCAGAGCAGGTACTTTCTGTTTTTCTCAGTCATCACTCTATGTTCCTTTCAGAGAACTTACCACAATCTGTAATTCTCTTGTTTTCTTGTTTCTCTGCCTCCCCTTCTAGACCCTAAATGCCAGGAGAGCAGGGATCTAGTTTCTCTTGTTTCCTGCTCTAGTCCAAGAGTCTAGCACAGTGCCTGGCATTTATAGAAGGTACTCAAGAAATGTTTGTTGAATGAATAAATGAACCCAGACAGAGGGAAACATTCTGATGATAAAGCTTCCTGACAGGGGAGCTGGTGGAGGAGGCACGCTGATCCTTCCTGGCTGTGTCTCTTGTTCCATGCTATGTCACAGACACCTAGCCCCAAATGCGCTAGGAGCCTGTGTCTCAGGCACAGACCTTGGGCAGTAGCCCCTGTCTGGGACTTAGGCTAGGAGTGGTCGCTGTGGGCAGGGGGGACCTGGATTCCTCAGCTTAGACGGGAGTGTGAATGAGAGGCGTGAAGGAGAGACGGATTCACCGCTGTGCACCTGGGGAGACCAGGGTGGGGTGTGGGCGTGAAGGGTGGGGGTGGGAGGCATAGCACAATAGCCTGAGAAGCGAGGATAGAGTCTGAACTCGGAAAACAGCAGGAGGGAGAAGAGGAGACAGAAGGTTTGATAAATATTTAAGAGGTAAGTTCAAGGCCGGGTGCGGTGGCTCACGCCTGTAATCCTAGCACTCTGGGAGGCCGAGGCGGGCGGATTGTTTGAGCTCAGGAGTTCGAGACCAGCCTGA